GAGGGCTGGCGTCTGGGGCCGGGGGTGGAGCTGGGGACTCGGGGGTGGACCCGGGGGCGGGCGGCCGGCCCGGGTCGGCGCTAAATTGGCCGGAGGGGCCCGTCGGCGGCGAAGTAGCTAGCTGGGGGCAGAGACGGCCACGCGGTTGCAGGAGTAAGAGATCCCCCTGTGGCGAGTGCGTGAGACGAGGAGTCCGGCGTCCCTGCCATCCCCGTCGCCCTCCCCGCCTGCCCGGCCCCTCTAGCTCCTCTCCTGGCCTCCGCGTGTGCCCTCGCTCTCACCCCCGCCGCTCCCCGGTTGGCTCCCGCGGCACTGCCGGGTCCCCTCGGCCCTCGCCCTGACCCTCCCGGCCTCCGGCTTCCCCTGACCCCTGCCTGCTTCGCCACTGCCCCTGTTCCCTTTTTCTGCCCTCGCTAGTTAGCCCGCCCCGCTTCGTAATTCCCGATGCAATTGCCTCTTTGAGACCTTTTTTTTTTTTTCTTCCTCTCCTTCCTTTTAGATTGGCCAACGGCTCCTTTCAACCCTGCCTCGTTGGTGGCCACTGGAGAAGCGCGGGGGGCTCCCCAGACAGCCGTGGGGACAAGTTAGAGCCAGCACTTGACCCCGGGCCTCGCGTGTAGCTTCCCTCCCCCCCCCCCGCTCTAGGTGCCCCGGTGTCTGGAGGGGGGGGGTGCGGGTGCGGGGGTGTGCCCTCCGTACACGTCCCAGCACCCGGGCAACCCTCGGGGCTTGTGTTCCATCTCGCTCTCGCTTCCTGCACGGTGGTCGAGGGGAACCACTTGGCATCATGTCCCGGTATAGCTACCAAAGTCTCCTGGACTGGCTCTATGGGGGCGTGGACCCCAGCTTTGCAGGCAATGGGGGCCCCGACTGTGCTGCCTTCCTCCCTTGGCAGCAGCGGCTGCTGGAAAGTGTGGTGGTCCTGACCCTGGCCCTGTTGGAGATCCTGGTGGCCCTGCGGCACATCCTGAGGCAGACGAAGGAGGACGGTAGGGGTGGCCATGGCTGCCAGCCAGATAAGGTGACCCAGCGGCCAGAGGAAGGCAAGGAGAGCCTGAGCAAGAATCTGCTCTTAGTAGCCCTGTGCCTGACCTTCGGGGTGGAGGTGGGCTTTAAGTTCGCCACCAAGACCGTCATCTACCTGCTCAACCCCTGTCACCTGGTCACCATGATGCATGTGAGTCTGTTGACTTTTTCCGTGGCAGCCTTAGTGATAAGAGTCATTTTGTGTGCTCAGGACACTCGGAAGTGTAGGGCACTTCATCCGGCGGGAAGTGGGACCCTTAAAGATGATTTTCCAAGGGCTCTGCCACCGTGTTCCTCGGAACCCACTGGCACTCTGGTGGGCTATCCCTCCCCCCACCCCCAGCCCTGCCCTGGCCTTTCACAAGCCGGAAGTGCAGCCCCAGCCAGGTGCCCTTTCTGAGTCACATCTGGGGTCCACGGCCTGCCCCCGTCCCCTCTGCTGCAGTTAATTTCCCAGAGGCCTGATGACACTCTTTCCTAGAGGTGGTCACATAAGGTTCCTTGCCCCCACTGTGCTACTTTGGGGAAATACTTTTATGGGTTTCCCTTAATGACTCTTTCATTTGGGATTTTCATGCTTGAGCAAGGTCTGCCTTTGAACTGAGGTGCTGGAGTCAGCACCAAGCTCCTACTAAGTGCGCTCTGAAACAGGCTGACTCGGGAACTTTGGGCGGGTGATCTCTATCCATGGTGAGAGGGTTGTTTATTTTTTGCAGACCTCTCCATCTTCTTGCTCTTACTCTGTTCCCTGTGGTCATGGTCTGGGGTGCTCAGAGAGCTGATTTCTTTACCTCCCATTAGCGGTGCTAAGAAAAACAAATGGGACTGAAAAGGAAAGTTGCCAGATACATAAAAATAATCTGGGTGAGGACCAAGAGTGAGACTGTCTTTCTGTACTCAGCCTGTGTGGAGAGATGTTCTAAAACTATAAAATCATGGAGGAGGCCTCGGAAGAGGAGAAAAGGGAAAAAAAAAAAAAATCTTTTTTAGATTTTAGGCTGTGAGAAACCTGGTGTGTTTTATTCAGGGACAGTTTGGAAACCTGTCATTAGCATCTTTATTGCTTTTATATTTGTAGAAGGTTATTCTCAGGAGACTTGTGACAGCCCGGTGTGGGGCAAGAGGTTGAGATTATTATCTTGGTTTTACAGGCCTGGTGGGGCCCAGGGACGGGAGGTCGCTTGCCTGCAGCCCAAAGATGAATTAGCGTCTGGGTTGGAAAGCTAACCCACCCTCTTTGGGGTTGCAGGCTGTCAGTGGAATGACAGGGCTGTCTCAGGGGAGAAGCCGAGGCTGATCAGCATGGCGCTGCCTACTTGCTCGGTCTGTGTGCTAGGCACTCCTTTGATTGCAGGTTCTTGGCCTCAGTTTCCCAATCTGTAAAATGTGGTCAGTGGCCTCGAGCCCCTTCCCGTCTTTACAGACGTGGCAGGGAGGTGTGGATAGCTGTGGAATAAAGAGGGTGTTATTGGTCGGGTGGCTGGCAGCACCGAGCGGGGCTGGAGGGCAGCATTTTTTTCTTTTTTTAAGAGAGGGCTTCTTGGGATGTGATGCCATTCACAAGAAGCCCAGGGCTCTCGCAGCTAGACCTTCTGGGTAAATTTGAGCCAGTCCTCTTTCTTTCTTTTTTATGAATGGGCTTTTTGTTAATGAGAGGAAACAACGCATCTCAGCCGCTGCTATGTGAGGCTCTTGGGACAGGAGTGCTTTTTTTGGATGGCAGGTGGTGAGGGTCAGAGGGTGCCTCTTCTACAAAGGGGTCTTGAGGCCTCTGGCAGCCACATATCTAGAAGGTCAACAAAGGACTAAATTCAGCCTGACTGGGGCTGCTGCTGGTGTGATGTCATCAAACCTGGCAGCACCAGGGTTTTCAGGGGAAAGGTTTTTAGAAGCTTTCAGAAGCCTCTGGAGACACGGTTCTGGCATTAATTAGTTGTGTGACTTTGAGGAAAAAGACACTTGCTGGGCCTCAGTTTGCCCATCTGCAAAATGACACAGAGCTGCATTTCCAGCTCAGGGCGGTCAGCGTTCTCTGATTCTTTTCTCCTTAAGTAGTGGCCGGGGATGCAACAGAGAGCCGGCTCTTCTGGAAATGCTTTTGGCCTCCTCGTGTGGAAAAAGGGAAACTCGTTTCTTCTTTGCTGACGTCAGGTGGCCTTGTTCATCTTCTGCTTCCTGTATCTCCCCAGTAAAGTCGGCCTGACCAGGCCACCCTTGGGCACACGTGTAGATGATGATGGCACTTGGGGCTGGCGGCTGCAGAGGGATGGGTGCTTGGGCGGGAGGTGAGGGGGCTGTCTAGGGACTGATTCCTGTCACCTGTGCTTTTTCTTTTGTCCTGTGCTTCCCTTAAACTCTGAAGCCCTAGGGCCGAGGCAGAGCACAGAGTCATGCTGAGGAATTCTTGAGCCTGACCAGGGTTATTCTCCTCTGCTCTTTACTCCTGTTACTGCTTCGTGTCATTTAAATAGTCACCTCAGGCCTGCTGCGGGCCCCAGCCTTTGGTCAGTCCCACATCCCATACCCTGCCTATGGCTCTTCCTGGGAAGCAGGGAAGTATGGATTTTTAAAAGTTGCTGTGAGTCCTTAAAGAAAAATTAACAACAGATGGTTGGAAACAGTTTTCCGACTTGACTGCGGCAAGGACTAAAGATAGCAAGTCTGGTTAATAATACCTTACACTTATCTGGCACTTTACTGTTTATAAGGCACTTTCACGGACATGATCTTGTTTAGGGTCATGATAGGTTAGCCGGGGCCTGGAAAAAGAGACGTTAAAATGTTTCCTGTGGCTGTGTATATTCCAGAGGGGCGATGTTGAGTACAGACAAACGCTTTGGCAAGTGAACTTGCTGAATTAGGCTGCACGATGGCAGGACATTCTGTGGAGTTCAGAGGTCCTGAAAAGGCAAGGGACACATTGGCTGAAATGAAAGAGACAGCTTAGCAGAAACATTTCTGATGTGTTTCTCTCCACAGGATGACTCAATTTGGGCTTCATAGAAAGGCCTTGTTCCTCAGAGTCCACATAAGTTTATAACAAGGACAGTATTGCTTTAGGCCAGGAAGTGGAAGAGTTGGAGGGAAATTGGTTAGTCTCCCCATCTCCCATTTTTCAGTCTGTAAAATATTTATTCCCAAGGCCTTTTTAAACAGCCCCTCATCATAGCCATGCTGCTCTTGGGTGACTGCCAGCTTTAGAAGCATAAGGAAGGGCCGTTTTTGTGGCTGAGTTCTGGTCTTGATTAATATTCCTGCTGTCCAGTTTCTTTTTGGTCTCATCTGCTTTCTCGAAGGCCCCGGGACTGTGGGTGATAGCGGTTTGTGTGATCCAAGTGCCAGTGTCTCCCATCTCAGCTTAAGCCAGAGACGTGGGAGGGTTCTCAGGGTCAGCAAGTGCCAAGCAAGAATCACACACCGTTGTTAAGCCCCTTGGTGAATATCAGGGGCGTTTCCCAATTACACCAATAAGTATTTCTTCAAACATGGCTACTTCCTTCGTGCGTATTATTTTGGCAGGTGGGAGTGACAGGGAATGAATTTACACAGCGATTATGCTATTTGCCAGAAATCACCCAGCAACGTCATGGCAGAGGCGGCTTTAACACTGAGCTGCCACTGTGGGAATCGAGGCCTTAGCAGAAAGCGATTCTCGTAGCCACTTAAGTCCCCAAGTCTACAACTTCTCAGCAGGAGGGTTAAAAAGCCAGAACTTTGACTGGTTGTATCTGTAAAGACTGGTGTTCTTCAGCTAGTGGCCCTTTATCGCCCTTGCATCCTGCCACCTTGTCTCTGTCCTAGGAATGTAACAGAAAGATCCCATTTTGGATGTCTTTTCGAATTGTCCAATTCCCATTGGCTCTGAATGTGTCCGTGTTGACGACTCCTGATCAGGTACCAAACTTAGTGGGGCACAACATAAGGCAGGCTGGAAACAAGCTGGATATTTGCCAAATTAACAGTCGATGCCATAGACCCCGGAGCCCCAAGCCACTGGTTTTCAGCCAGTAATTCTGAGTGAGCCCCATGATGGATTTGTTCTAGAGAAGGACCTGATGGATTTGAGAACTAGGCTTTTTGTGAACCCGCCCCCCCCCCCCCAACTCCTTGACTTGAGACCAGCCATACCTCCTCATCCCCATCTGTTGTCTGGAGCACTGATAACGGCTCTTGCTTGGAATTGACATTGGTGGGTAAATGGGTACAATGAGGGATCCTGCCATCTGCTGACAGCTCATCAGATGGACCGTGTCCTTTGTCATCAGTCCAGGGGGACACAAGAGGATGATGTTTATATGGGCCTCAGCAGTGAGGCATGACATTCCTTTTTAGTTTGTTTTATTTCTCTCCCAAGGAAATCTGCAGAGAATTTTTCCATCTTCCATTGTTACAGTCTTTTGGGGGCGTCCATTATAAAGAGAAGTGGTGTGGATTGGTGGATTAAACACCCCACAGACGGCCCTGGGGTTGAACCTTATGATGCCAGTTTTGCTCATGGCTTGCTATGGGAACCTGAGCAAATTATCTCATCTTTTCCTGTCTCCGTCTTCTTGGTGAAACCGGCCGTGTAGAGGGGAGAGCATTTTAATCCTCTGAGTAACTACGTGGTCACTTAAACAGAGAAGCCGGGCAGAGCTGATCAGATGACCAATATATATATATTTTTTTTTCTTTTTACCTCAAACTCAGAAACTGACAAACCTCAACTCTTTTGCACCTTTCCTGATAGCTTTTGGAATTCATTCCTCTAAGCATTTCTGTTGCTTTTCTCTGGCTCCCAGCCCGCGCCTGCATACCCTTTTTTTTTTTAAAGATTTTTTATTTATTTATCTGAGAGAGAGAATGGGAGACAGAGAGCATGAGAGGGGGAGGGTCCCAGGGAGAAGCAGACTCCCCGCTGAGCAGGGAGCCCAATGCGGGACTCGATCCCGGGACTCCAGGATCATGACCTGAGCCGAAGGCAGTCGCTTAACCAACTGAGCCACCCAGGCGCCCGCCTGCATACCCTTTGAACGTACAGCCTCTGAAACTGGACGCTGTGCCTCCTACCAGTCCATACCCAGCACCTGCTAATACAACCCAGCATGGTTCCTGCTTTCAAGTACCAGTGCGTCACTGGCTCCTACCCGTGGGGTGATCCCCAGGCTCCCT